ATATTGCATTTAAATTTTTGAAGGTTAAAGTTGGCTGGAAAGCATGAAGTCAGAAGGGAGTTCCACAATTGAGAAGTGTGAGAAAAGAAACAGATAAAACAAAAACATAGGTGGGATTGTAAGAAATATTTTTTTTTTTTTTTCAAGGGAATATTGCATTAACAATTTCTTTTTTGTTATAATAATCATTTTTTACAGATACAAGTCCTGCTATTTAACCCATAGCTGAGGGGAAGTGATAGATTTCCCAATAGTATTTGCACATAAGTGACTGGTGAAAGAAGCAAAAGAAATTATAGTATCTTTAGTGACACATCATGCCTTTTTGTTAGAATTTTATTTAAACTCCAAAATATTAGGTTAGACAGAAACTGCAGTTGCATTTGCTTCCTTTTTTATGGAAGAGCGCACATTGCTGGTGAACCAGAAGTTATCGAGGATTGGACTATAAATTACCAAGAGGAGTCGCTGTGTGTGGCCGGGAGGATGGAAAAAATTGTAGCTAACAGAAGGTACACAAGTTGATACCCGAACAGTATCGGCTGGGCCACTGCGTAGAGGGGGTATGATATTGAAAGACCCTAAACCTCTAATGAACTTCAGATAGAAACATCGCTGATGATGTTTACTAAATACCTCCAATAGATGTATTTTACGAAATGGAGGCATTTCCAAACTTTTAAATATGAAGATGGAAACGGTTGATAGTTGACAACCGGCGAAGTCCTCCATCATGAGAGATGTTTCAACTTGAATGCACACTGTAAATCATTGTGATTTCTAATATTCAGAAACTTTGTAAATATCTCTGATCAGTTCCCTCCACTTCTTATGTTTTTTGGATAATTCAGTATCAGTATCGGCTGGGTCGCCGTGGAGATGATGTTGAAAGACCCGAAACCCCTAATGAACCTTGGCTAGAAACATCACTGATGATTTGTACAAAAGCATCCAATAGATGTATTTTATGAAAAGGTTGTTCAGAAAATAATGTCATTTTTTAACCATTATTTTTAAAATGACAGATCTTACCCCCCAGAATAATTTTTATTAATCCAAATAAGAACCATTAGATTCTACACATTTTTATCAACAAGATGCAAGTGTTGTTATTCCACTAGCATAGAAGTTACAAGTTTGGAAGGCAACAAAATCATTGAAGGCATTTTGGACAATAATTGAATTGTTGAAAACTTTTCTTTGTAAGAAGTTGTTGAAAAAGCAGTAACCAGTTGGCAAGAAGTTAAGTGAATTAGGTGGATGAGACAGATCCTTCTCCCTAAACTTTATTCATGTTTCAAGCCATCTGAGCTGCATTATGCCCAAGATTGAATTCAAAAGAGTAAATTTGGCAAATTTTTTTTTTTTAACATCTTAGTTAAGAAGTCTGAAAAAAGATTTTGATCACCGTTAGTGAAAAAATAGATCATTTAGACAAAATGTATATAAAATACCCTTTGAAACCATATATAATCTTTACCTTTTTACAATAAAAAAGAAAGTAGGTTAAAATATATAAAGACAAAATCTGCATTATTTTCCAAAAACCCTAATATAAGTCTAATAAGAGAGAGAGAAAAAAAACAGTTTTTATCAACAGTGATTCATAAAAATCTATTTTATCTATACAATTAATTCTATTGTTGCATGGAAGAAAGAATTCTGCTTTTTGAATCATTAAAAGTAAAAATATACAAAGAAAGCTAACATGAACTGTACCATCAAAGAATGGCAGCCATATTTGAATAATTTTGCATCTGCATTGATTATATTTTCTGCTTGAGTAATCTAACATTTTTTTATCTGTACAATAAAATTTCTTGTCACATGTAAGAAAGAATTCTGCTTTTTAAATCATTAAAAGTAAAAATAGCCAAAGAAAACTAACATGCAAAATTATTTAAATATGGCTACCAATTTTTTTTTTATGGCATCCATATTGAATAATCTAGGGTTTATATCTGTCCAATTAACAATATTATCATATGTAAGAAAGAATTGTGCTTTTTAAACCATTAAAAGTAAAAATATCCAATGAAAGCTCACATGACTCATAGCATCAGCAAGTGATGACCATATTTATGTAAATTTGCCATTGTATCAGTTATATTTTCAGCATGTATAGTTTATTAAGATTAGAATTCTGTTTTTTAAATCCTTAAACGTCAAGGCTGGTCAGTACCTAGATGGGTGACTGCTTGGGAATGCAAGATGTTATAAGCCTGGATGTGTGGGCGGTGTAATAGATAATGGCTTGGAATTGTTAATCAGGCAGCTGAGCTCCAATTCCAGTTGGGTTTGTTATATTCACCCATGTGCAAGTACCCTTGGAAAAGGTATGAATCCACTCTTTCTCCCCTCAGCTAGAGGTTAATTAGTATAACTTGTATCACTAAATCATTATCTGAAAAAAAATAAATTTCTGAGAATCTAAAAATATTTTCTGGTTTTAAATAACCTTCAAAGGGTTGATAAGCAGTAAAGAATGAATCAATCTTGCCTGTCATTAAAATTTTGAAACTTAAGGGAACCACTCCCTCATTTATTCAAATTCCATTACCCACATCTGGTTTGCCAAAACACCATTAGGTGGCACTGTTTAACTGCTATAAAAGGACAAGCACATATTTCTCTTTCCAGCAATAGGTAGGTAGCAACACCAACATGGGACACATCCCCTGGATGACTTACATCTAAATTTAGACACATTGCTTATGGCCATATTGCATTGAAACACAGGTTCTCATATGATCACTGAAGGTAAGCAACAACAAGCCTAATTAGTATGTAGATGGGTTACCACTTGAGAATACCAGTTGCTATAAATTTGGATGTGCAGGTGATGTAATGGATAATAGCTGGGAAATGGAAATGTGAGAGCCAAGTTCTAATTTCAGTTGGGTTCACTATATTCACTCAAATACCCTCAGGAAAGGTTTGAATCCCCTTCTTCTCGCTCTAGCTATGGTTTAATTAGTAAGACTTGTGACAGTAAATCATTATTATTTCAAAAAAAAACTCTTACAATCTAAAGGTAATTTCTGACTTTAAATAACCTGCAAAGGGTTGATAAGCCATAGAAAACAAATCAAACAACTATATTTACATTCTCTGGAATATATATGTATGGAAACTACTGTGGTCACTAAGTGAGGAATCAGTTTATATATTTGTTGTAATATAGAATTGATCCCCTTTATATCCACATTAAAATTTCTTTATCAAATTCTGATGAGCTATGCATCCACCTTTTCCCCCCAGCTATGGGTTAATTAGTAAGACATGTATCAGTAAATCATTATTATCTCCAGAAAATTCTTAGAATTTAAACATATTTTCTGGTTTTAAATAACTTACAAAAGGTTGATAAACTGTAAAAAAAACAATCAATCATGCACACACATTTTCTAATAGTTAAATTTAATGACATTCCTTCTTTTTCAGCTTCTTTTTCTCATCAGTGTATTTTTCTCTTTTTTTTTTTTTGTTAATCCTTTATTAGTTTTGGGTCCCTGGGCAATGCTTTGTGACCCTTGCTATCTTATCAGCATTTGCTTTTTTTTTCTATCTACATTTATATACATTACAGACACAACTGACTGTTAAAGGATGAAAAAAACTTTTCTTATTCAATTCTGTGAATTTGTTTTGCCCATGCTAAATCTCGAAAAAAAAAACACTATATTAAATTCACTATTTTTTTTTATGTGTAATGTTGAATGTGTTAAAATTCTTCAACTTTTTAACAAGAAAATCTCAAGTTAATGTTAAAAGTTACCACAAATCATTGTTGATTGAATGATCCCTTGTGACATGTCTCTAATTTGTATTTAGATACAGTGTATTTATTTACAATTTTTCTAGTTGAATTGTTCACAATATTGAATAAGATCCATGATAGTACATAATTAGGTTACAATAAAATCTGTATTTTATATGAATACTACCTTCTGAAGATTGAGATTTAGTAGAGTGGAGCGGGGTGTAACATAGATTCAGTGGGGACCCACAAGACCCTTACACACATTTCCTGACAGCTAAGTTTAATGACTGTCCTTCTTTTCCAGCTCTATATTCACTACTAGCAGTAGAGCCCGGCATTGCCCGGGATGTAACAGTAAGAGATAGATCAAGTATCGACCATCATAAAGACTGAAAAATAAAATTGACAAAGATTATTGTTTAAGGTTGACGGACACGCATGTCTTAATTAGTTTTTTTTGTTTTTTTAGTTTGTTTTTAACGAATTGGTCTAACTCAAACAAAAACATTGTTTTCAATCGTTATGAGTCTACCGATTGAATAGAATTTTATTATAAACAATTGTCTTGTAAATGGAATTTTTAAAGCATTCTAAATGTAAAAATAAAGAAAAAAGTGTGCAAGACAATAAGAAAAACTACCTGCCAAAAAAAGAAGTGAAGTTTTGTTGAAATCGGTTGAAAAATGTAGGAAATTCGATCCCATATATAGACGAACACAGACACAAACAACCTGGGTTTTATAAGTATAACTAAGTTGTCTCCCTTTCATTCTTGCGATGCCTCTTAATCGTGTTTTCAAATTGATTTCGTGCAAAAACAATTGTGTTTTTCCAATTTTTGGCACTGTCAGAACCACCGCAAGGTAATTTTACGTAGTCCTGTGAAGTTTTGTTGAAATCGGTTGGAAAAATGTAGGAAATCTGATCCAATATATAAATGTGCACACACACACACACAACCTGGGTTTTATAATAAGTACATGATTTTTCCCTCTTTTTGTTCATCCTTTGTTAGTTTGGATAAAAATACAAGAAAATATCTCTGTTTTGAAATGTATTCCTTTTCTCCTTACATCTGCAAATAATGATAAGTCATCATTAACATGTGAAAAGTTTTGTTTGCCACTTTTAGTGGTGACCGCAACAATAGTATAGAAAATGGTTTTATAAGTGTTGTTATATTTTTTTTTTTTTTTTTTATCTATTTTTATTTCTTTTTTTTTTCAGGGTTGTGGATATGTACCCGAATCGAGGAGTGATAGAAATACGAAATCCTAAATCTGTTCCAGGAGATGTACATCGGACCTTTACTTTTGATTGCGTGTACGACTGGACGTAAGTGCTAATTCCTTTATAGTTATTAACTGAAAAGAAGAAAGGCTTTGCTTACACTCACACTCTTCCTTGGTCTTTTGAACAGGAGTAGAGGTTTATCCTTTGTTGCCTGTTCATTGGGTTTCTGGTTCCTTTAAAAGTCTCATTTTCTTTCACTTTCAGTAGCCCCCTTGCATCTTAGTGACATTATTGCCTTGTTTGGGGTGAATTTCTGTTTTTAAATAAAATAAAAATCTGAACGAGGAAATCTGCTTTGAGGCAAATAGAACCTTGCTTGGCTATGAGGCTCTCTGTAGCCAACCGGTCTAAAGCACACCACATCAAATGAAGGTTTCTCCTACAAAGGGGGACACAGGTTCAAACCCTGCCAGAGGGTACGTTTTTCCTATTAAATTTAATTAAATATGCATGCAGGTAGATGAAACAAACATTTTAAAAAATGGGGCATTCTATTCAAATAGTTATCCACTAAAAATAATGTTTGAAGTAATATATATATATAAGCATGTTTCACTGTATCACAGCTCATCAGTGTGGCTAGGCATCTAATTGCTTCAAGCCAAGATCAACTCAACCGATTTGGCATCAGTCAGAGACTCTACCCCTAAACTATTGACACACAGCAGAGAAAGGGAATCTTTTAACATATTATATGCGTGATGTACATAAACGCTAAATCAGCAGCCAGGGTGCTCAATTCATGTGCGTTATAAGCAGGAGCAGCTGCTGTTTTAAAAATTCCCTCTCCCCATAATGCTCAATTGGTGAATGAGATATATATTAATTTTAAAATGAAGATCATTGTTTGATATCAAAATGTAATCTCGATAAAATCAATTAAAATTTGCACTTTCATCCAACACTTCATAAGTAAAATAAATTGTCAGAAATTAAATTAGAGAAAAAATGATTTCTCAAAACAAGATCTTAAAAGAGAACAAGAAGCAAGGGAAAAAAACGAAAGCAACAAGAGGAGTCATCATGAATGAGTTAAATCTTCCCCAAATAACTCCAAATTATGTTGAAGTTGTGTGTGTGTGTGTGTGTATATGTATATATATATATATATATATATATATAGTACAGTGTGTGTGTGTCCAAGCAACTCTTCCACTCCCACTGGTCCAATTTCAATCATAGGTCATTCAAAAGCTCTAGAAATGTTAGGCGCATGGAATGATTTTCATTGAGCTCAGATTCAGGGTTGCCAGATTATGCGAGGTTAAAAATATATATTAATATATTATACTAGCCATTGTCATTGCTTTCATGGTTCTAGGGAAGTAACTCTTATTTTCCTTTTATATCCAAAATTGCAGCTGAAAAGCTGCCCTATCAGGTGGCATTTAAGCTAGCTCCTGTGGAGGGCTCTTCGTTTGGCCATCATAAAAATATCTAAGGAGGAGTAGATATGATAGGCATCAATAAACTACAGACGAACTCAAAATTGATTGCTGCATTTAAGTATTGAATTAAAGTTTAAGCTTACCTTTTAAAAGTTTAACGATAATTCTTCTGCTGCCACTTAATTAAAAGACAATTTGATGTACGTAGATCCTTATTTTCCATACAAACAATAATTTTTATTTTGTGGGTAACAGAACAGGGGACAGTTTCTAAGATAAAATTAATATAGTGTAAAGATGGGAAAATAGAAATTAGTTATACATTCAACATTTGAAGAGTTAGAGAAACATAACAGCTAATTAAGTAAAATATATATTATGGAATCTGTATGAATAAATGTGAAATTGGAGCTCAATTCTCACACAAATTTTGAGATTAAAAAGCACCAGTTCTACTTTATAGTAATTTGGTATTTACTTGGTCAGGTTGTGACTAATGTGGGCAGCCCGAGCATGTACACCCAGGCTAGGAACAAAAATTCCCTGACAATGAGGGTGTGGCCTTGGGCAGCTGTTCCCCAGGGCCGGGCACCTCTCAGCATAATTTTCCTCAGTTGCAACTCTGTTCTTTGATGAAGCCGCCCCTGAATGCACAACTGAGAGATGATAAATAGGGTGTTACAAACTACTTTAGGGTAATTTATACACTAAAAGCTCAATATCTTTATAATATATTATCTACTTCTAGGTAATATCACTCTTCAGGTTTAATTAATTTGCATAAAAAAAACGTTTTTCATTAATTAACTGTCTTTCATTACTGTTCTTTTATTTGAGAATTGTTTTGATTTTCATATCAAAAATAGTTCTGTTTAGGAATATTGTCTTATATAGTGCAGAAAAGTGTTTGAAATTTGCATTTTACTTGGCCTTCAACAAGTTGGCATCTATTTGTAAAACTTTTCTTAACTATAAAAAGCCAATTTATGAATGAAAGGTTTTTAAAATCTTTGTTTCAAAGATTTTAAGTAGTGAATATATGTCATGAAGCCTGCTAGTATATTATTATAAAGAAATCTATACAGTAATTGCATGTGTTTTGTATGGTTTTTCTTAAATTCAACTGATAAGGTGTGGTTGATAATCTTTTGTTTCTTTTCCAATTTTCTCATAAGCTGTTGCACATCCAAATCAGAATTGTGGATAAACTGTCCAAAACTTGTGTTTTGATCTTATTATATTCTTGAGTGCAGTCATTAAGCTGTATTTATGAAGCTCTGCGTAATGGAATTTTAGGTATGTATTCATATTTCACTAACAAATTAAATTGAAAATTTAATTAAAAAAAATTAAAAATCATGTTTTGCAAAACTATCAATTACTGTCAAAATGGGTTATTCATCTTGTAAAAACAAATGTCAAAATCTTTCATTTTATGATTACCTCTTTTCAGTTCCAAACAGCGAGAACTTTATGAGGAGACATTCCGCCCACTTGTCCAGTCTGTATTGGAAGGTTTTAATGGTACAATATTTGCTTATGGACAGACAGGAACAGGAAAAACATACACAATGCAGGGTAAACAATAACTACACTTTTTTTTTTTTTTTTTTTTTCAATGATTACTATTTCTTATCTAAGCATTTCAATTATGAAATTTTATTTTTAATTAGTAACATTTATGAATGGAAACCTGTTTGACTGATTTTTATTTTGCTCAACTGGGAAATTATAACGAGCTAAATCTTATAATGG